CATAAGCCCTTGCTAGCATCAAGCTTTCTGTATAACCAACAATGTCTGTGAACTCTAATTCCTCCTACCTCAATCTTTCAAATGCTTGGATGGCAATCATACACCACTGTTGCCAGCAAAAAAAGAAAAAAGATCCTTAAAATGGAAAGTTTGGGAACACAGATGGTTAAGTTATAAGTGCTGTAGATCAGAAATCTTTTACCTGTGGTACCCCATGTTGTAAGTAATTAGAAATACAGTCCAAACCCTGGTAGTTCTTTTGTTTCTAAATGACTTTTTTCTTTTGTTTTTAAATCTAAAGTCTAGAAATCGAGCTGAGAAAAATATCAGTAGAGCTCACTTCGAAGCCGTATGCTGTTTTTAAAGTGTATTTAATAGAATCAGCAGAATTCTAGTTCATTTGCCTATACTTCCTGTTCTGTAGAGAACCACTGTAAAACTTATGCATAAATGATATGGTATATTAACTTGTATGAGCAATTGCTAGCCAGTGTTTAAAATGGTCACAGGCTGCCATAAGTGATGTCACAGATCTGTAGTCCTGGCACTCAGGAGGCTGAGGCAGGGGGATCAAGGATTAAACTATCCTGGGCTATATAGCTAAACCCTACATCAAAACAATAAAAAGTCACAAATCCTTCTCAAAGGACAGCAGATAAATACTTATCAAGGACCTTATATTGTGCTTCACATTAAGTAGTAAGTAGTAGTATTTTATTTACTAGGAAAATGAGGCCAGGTTCCTACAGCTAATAGAGACTATATGTGGGATTCAGATCCCAGTCAGTCTTTCCCAAAGCTCACACTCTTTCTATCATAATGTATTACTTTCCTTTCAGTGCCAGAAATTATTCCATATTCTTAGATTATGTACATGGCCTGCAACATGTATAATTACAGTTCAGACAGCAAAAGCATTTTCATCCTAGTATACACTGTCATTTTTTATTTCATATTAAAAAATTAGAATTTAAATTTTTCTCTTTATTTAATTGATTTTGCTGTTTAACAGTTAATAAAAGGAGTATGATATTGAGTTCTTTCTGTTAGCCTGTTTATACTGTTACTAACTAACCCTTTTCCTCTGCCAGCCGTACTTTCTCTTCTTAAAGGGCAATGGAAACATCCATTACATGTGTTATTTATTATTCAAAAAGCATCGGTCATGTACTACTTTGATTGGATAAAAGATCCTAGGAGAAATCCCAAAAGGCAGGATATCTGCCTTCAAAAATTTATGGCCATTTTTTTTTTTTTTTTAGTCAAGAGGAAGAGTTATTACATGCCACACATGTAAAAGAATAAACTTAGTCTCCCTTCTTCCCCGAAAGGGGCAAAAGGATGTGGATAAAGATGATAGCAGAAGGGAGATATTTACAGCTGGTAATCATTTAGTTATTATCAAAGTTCAACTATGCTAACAATCATCAGGAAGCAAGGCCCACTCTTAAATTCAGAAGTGTAGGAGGGCTTAGCCTGTTCTTAGATCAAACCCTGAGGCTAACTAAGCACACTGAGTAATAATAATAAAAATAACTTGAACTTCTCACCCATAATAAGCACAACTTTTTCATCTGACTCTGAAATACTTGCAGGTATTTTGCAAGTAATATAAACTAATGAATTTGCAGTACTAAATTATGTGTTTTTTTTCTTAGGGTAGCTCAGGTCTTTATTAGAGATTTTAAAATTATATCAACTTCTGATTGATGATGATCTCATTTTCATATCATGCCTGACAAGTAGGCAAGTGCTAGACAATTCCTATACCTTTGAATTCAGCCTCTTTCTTCCCTTTTCACAGTCATCTCAAAGTGATTACCTATCTGTATGTAGGTCATCAGGATGCTAGGGGCATTGATAGGTAGGATTTTTGTGGGTTTTGGAGGAATAAGCAGTTCTGTTGGTGTGTGTAAGGGGGAACTGTTGTTCTTGTTGCTGCTGTTTGTTGGGGAAGTATTTTATTTTTTTGAGGTGAGATCTTACTACGCAGTCCCAGCCGACCTGGAACTCAACTCTATTGACCAAATTGCCCTCAAATTTGTAGGTAGTCCTCCTGCCTCTGCCTCCTCAGTGCTAGAATTGCAGGTATGTACCACCATGTCTGGCTCCCATCTGTTTCATAGTTTCCTTTTGTAAGAAACTATCAGTTGATTTCGTTCTGGCTTGTCTTTTAAAAATATTTTAGTTTTAGAATTCTGAAGATTTTATAAACAACTGATTTATATAAACAAGCTATTTCTGAACCTATGCTTTTAACTAGTAAGAAAGAACAAGTGTTTTCTTAACACTGTCTTTAAGGTGTTTATGTGTTATTGAATTTGGTTATTAATGCAAGGCTGATTGTAGGCCCAGCTCTGCTCACTTGATATGAATCATTGCTCTTCCTCCATTTCCTCATCCTAACTTAGAAAAATGTTTGACTCCTTTTCTCATGGCATAGTCTCATGTTTTTGGATTTTACTATGGTAAAGAACACTTAACATGAGGTTTGTTGACTTAAATAATTTAATTTGGTTAATAATGATTAGATGTGATGTTGTACAGTAGATCTCACAAGTTTATTCACCTTGCTTGACTGAAACTTGCTGTTACTAATTTCTCATTTCCCTTTTCCCCTAGCCCTTGGTAATTACCAGTCCACTCTGATTCATTGGTCTGTTTCATGTAGTATCTGTCTTTCTGTGACTGGCTTATTTATATGTATATATCATATCTTTATTTTAAATAGCTATTTAGGTTGTTTGCATATCTTGACTATTAAGAATAGTGCTGCTGTGAACATGAGAATATTAAGTATTTGTTGATAGCTATTCTTTTTGGATTTCTATTCTTTTGGAAAACACCCTGTAGTAGGGTTGCCAGATGATATAGTTACTTCTATTTTAATTTTTTTAAAGAGCTTCTATCCTGTTTTCCACAGAAACACTGTGTTGCATCCCCAGAAGTAGCATACAAGAATTCTGGTTTCCCCACATCTTTGTCTACACTTTTTGTTTTTAATAATTATTCAAACAGGTCTGAAGTAATACTACTACAGCATGCTTTTCATTCCCATTTCCCTGATTATTACTAATGTTGATCAGCTTTCAAATGCCTGTTGGCTGTTTTAATGTCTTCTTTGGAGAAATATATTCAAAGTGCTTAGCTCATTTTTAAACACGTCTTTAGGGTTTGTTATTTGGATTTATTTTTCACTATTCAGTTGTCATGTTTTGGAGATTAGGCCCCTATTAGACATGGTTTGTAGGTGCTCTCTCCCAGTTTGTAGATTGCCATTTACTCTTGTTGATTGTTTCCTTTGTTGTATAGAAGCTTTTTAGTTTGCAGGGTTGTCTTCTCTTAGATTGATTAAGTAGTATGATGGACATGGTTGTTATCTGTACAAGTAATTTCTTCTAACAGTTAAGAAACCTCTGTCATCAAATTATTTTCTTTTGCATTTTTTACCTTCACCTCCGTCAGCTTGAAAGATAAATTAAATTTTTATGAAAATAGTTATTCTCAAAGAAATAGCCACTGGTTTTCTTTGAATGCTTTGCAGTAGGTGTTTATAGTTTCCATTTGTTTTCCATATGCACCGTATAATGTGTAACAAAACCAACATACAATGAAAAACGGTAACTACTCTTGCCCTGCTTTTATTGCATCATTGATAATCTACTTTTCTGTAGTTATACAAGAAATACATATGATTTAATTTTTGTCTCGTGTTTCAACAGAAGGAGAATATATTAAAATGTTTATGCGAGGTCGGCCAATTACTATGTTCATCCCTTCAGATGTTGACAACTACGATGATATCAGAACTGAACTGCCTCCCGAGAAACTCAAACTGGAGTGGGCGTATCCTTCTCTACCATGACAGCAGAACTGTTTGCCTTGTCTCTAGTTTAATAGAATTGGTTTACCTAATTAATTGTCCTGAAACCAGGAACAGTATATAATAAACATAACAACCACTTGAGAAATTAAAAAGGGAACACTTCTAATGCTTTCACGTGTTGGACCTATCTTTCTAATATTAGCAATTTAAACACACAGGACAAGCAGTGTTTCATGAGCATTTAGCAAGTAGCAGTGGTGTAGCAGAAAAAAACTCTGGACTGAAATTGGAAGACTAGTGTGTATGTTGACTCTGCCACTTGTCCTGTGAACCTTAATTTTTTCTACTTATAGAAAGGTTTAATACCCTAACAAGGCTGTTTAAGAATTTAAAACATGGGGCTGGAAAGATGGTTCAGCAGTTAAGAGCACTTGCTGTTCTTGCAGAAGACCTGGGTTCAAATCCCAGCACTCATGTGGCACCTAACAACTGCCTATAACTCCAGTTCTAGGGGATTCAGTGCCCTCTTCTGTCCTCATTGGGCAGTGCATGACATAGGCACATTTACATGCAGCCATAATACTCATACTCATAAAATAAAAATAAATCCAAAAATTTAATTTTTTTTTTTTTCGGTCTTTTTGAGACAGGGTCTCCCTATCGCCCCAGCTGTCCTGGAACTCACTATGTAGACCAGGCTGGCCTTGAACTCACAGAGATCCGCCTGCCTTTGCCTCCCAAATGCTGGGATTAAAGGTGTGCGCCACCACACCCTGCCCCCAAAATTTAATTTTTAAAAAGAATTTAAAACATTGATTCAATATCATTTTACCTGTGAATGATGTTAAATGTCATATGTGTTAAATCTTTGGTTTGGGTTTGGGTTTGGGGGCGTGGTTTTTTGGTTTGGGGTGCACAGGGTCATGCTATGGATCCCTGCTTAGCCTTGTACTCACTGTGTAGTCCAGGATGATCTTGACTTCATAAGAGTCCTCCTGCCTCAGCCTCTGAAGTGCTGAGATTACAGGTGTGCCTAAACTATTAAAGAGCTCAGATTAACAAGGTTAATTCTAGTTCCAAAATTAACTACTTCTGTGCCAGGCTTACATACACACATGACAATTTAATACTGAGCTTTCCTAATTTCACCTAGAATTCTCATCTGTAGCCTCTCAGAAACTCAGAGAAATGGAAAGAGGCTAATAGTATGAACACTGCTCTCTTCCTCCACTCCTCTATAGTCTCCCCACTTTTTAAATTCCTGTGTTGGGTAGAATTAGCTTGGGAAAGTTCACCAATCCTGGAATTTAGCACAGCTTTTTATTGCCATTTTGGGTACTAAACAGAGCTGAACTAGCAGTTCTTCATCACTGTGGGTCCAGTGTACTTGTTACTTTCTCATGAGCCTTCTTTAGCTCTCTTTCTCCTCAAGTACATCCCTCCATGCATGCTTGTTCCTAGCACAGTGCTACACGGGCTCCACATTTATTTGTTCAGAACTGTATGCCCAGCAGTGCTTGGTACCATGTCAGACACTCAGCAGATACTTGTCTGATGAGACTAAGAACTTCAGTAAGTCTTGGGCTGACAAGAAGGATAGCAGGATGTACGTTTTCTAGTTCTAATCCAGCCCTGTGCCCATTATGCTTTGTGGGTGTCCTAAGTAGCCTTTAAAAAGATTGTTAGTTTAACACTGTGAATATTAAAGAACCTTAACTTCTTATTTTAAGATATGGTTATCGAGGAAGGGACTGTCGGGCTAATGTTTACCTTCTTCCTACGGGGGAAATAGTTTATTTCATTGCATCAGTAGTAGTGCTATTTAATTATGAGGAGAGAACTCAACGACACTACCTGGGTCATACAGACTGTGTGAAATGGTTGGTATCATTTAACATTTGTCAGTTTTGTTCTTTACTTTCATACCTTCATTGTGGTTTTGTTTTAATTTGGATTGTACTTAAAAGTACTGCCTACAGAGCTCCGAATGTAAGGGTATTATGGGTATTTTATAGAATGTATTTTTAAAGGTATAAGGCCTTAACAGTCCTTTTAAACAGTGGATGTGATATCAGAAGCAATAAAATACACTCCATAAATCTCAGTGGGAATTTCCCCTGGTGCCTCAGATTTCTTTAGTCTTTTCTTTCTGGTCTGTAGGGTGAAATGCATGTGGAACAGACGGAGGTTTTATGAATTTCTGAAAGTGGTTTTTCATTACTCAGTAAATATTGAGGATTTGATTTTTGTGATAAATTTTGAACTTGAGGTAATTCTTGTGGAAGGAAAGAAATCATAGCTGCTAGGATCATAAGTGTCCCATGTGGCATCAAACTATGAAAAACATAATTCCTTTTGAATGCTTAGGCTTATTTTTTCTCAATACATATTGCCACTGTTTAGTTAAATTGAATAATCTGTTACTAAAATCTATTTTCTCACATTTAAAAGTTTGGCTTCTTTATGCTGTTCTGGCATCTGTGTCTAGATAAAAATCAGTGTATGACTGCTAGGACATTACATAGATACTGTTGAAACTTCAGAGATGATCAAAATACTGACTTGTGTACTTGCAGAATAATACATGTACAAAATTATTGCAGTATTAGAGAGTAACAGAAGCAGCCTAAACTTACTTTCAGTTGGGGGCCAGTAGCTGTTGGTCACCATGCAGCTATTAAGAAGAAAGAACAGGACGTGGTAGTTCACAGTAATTCCCAGTACTGGGGAAGCTGAGACAGAAAGATGGAGAGTTAAAGGTCAGTGTGATGAGACCCTGTCTCATAAACAAGGAAACAAAAATGAGAAGGAAACACCAAAACAAAAACGGAAGCACTGCAAATATCAGAGAGCAGGAAAGTGTGTGTTCTATCACTTGTGTTTGAGTGGGGGCTGGAGAGATGGCTCAGCAGTTAAGAGCACGGACTCTTATTGCAGAGGACCCAGGTTTGAGTCACAGCACCCACATGGGCAGCTAACAACCATCCATAACTCTAGTTCCAGGGGAATCCACTGCCTTCTTCTGCCCTCTGTGGGTATTGCCTGACACAAGTGCACTAGTAGAAATACTTCCTTTGCCTTTCATATACATAAATATTTTCCTGTGACTAATAATGAAAATAAATTAATTATAATGGTTGGTTTTAGAGGACTTAGTGGTTGAGGCTGGGGATAGGGTAGATAGGATCTTATCAGTTGGGGTGGGTAGAAAAAAAGACTGTCCTCAGTAAGTTTTAAATAGCTTTTGATAGTAGAGCCATGCAAATGTACTACTGAGTAAAGAGATTGTAATTTTAAATTTTTGTTTGAAAAGAAAGACCTCAATTAAATACTGCAAAAATTAATGTGTTAGAGTTTCAGTCTTAATGTAGTTGACCTACATGCAGGATAGAAACTATTTAAAGAGAAAAGAAAATTTAAAAGTATTAATAAACTAGCCTCCTTAATAGCAAAAAAAATGAAAACCTGTTACCATTTATGACAAATTATTGAAATGTTTTTAAAGATACATTTCATAATATAGGGAGTTGTAGAACTTTGGAACATGTTTATCTCCTATGACTATTTAAATTAGTATCATTTTTCTGGAAAATAATAAGCAGCACATAGCAGAAAATATTTTTAGTTGAGTTTACTCCTTGATTGCAAGATACGAAAAGATCGTTGACACTATGCTAGGTGGGTTAGCTGAACTGACGGCCTCAGTTCAGTCCCTAGAAGCACATGGTGAAAGGAGAGAACCCACTCCTTCAGGTTGTCCTCTGATCTCCACGTATTTCCCCCCTCAAATAAATAAATATAATCTTAAAATGTTAATACATAGAATCTGGGCAGGGACATGAAGATGCTTAAAATTGTTTTGTAATTGGAACTGGGTAGATGACTCAGTGGGTAAAGTACTTGCTATGCAAACATGAGGACCTAGTTAGAATTCTGGCATCCATATAAAAGCCAGGTGCATACCGCTTATGTGTAACTCTGGTGTCCTGGGATGAAGATAGACAGATCTCAGAAGTTTACTAAAGATGTTTACTGCTGCTTTTTGGTTTTAGAAAAGTAGAGATACCTAAGATATTAAAGAATTGTTAAGTTAATAAATGTATAAAGATTATGCAAAGATGAAGCTATGCTTATATTTTAATAGATTAAAATTACGTCATGCCATACTGCATCTTCGTAAAACCATGTGAATATGTCTGCCTTTGAACATAGACTAAAGGAACTTGAACAGATAAAAAGAATTTCATTTGTTACCATACCACAATTATAAGTAAATATTTTATTACATTGTTCCATTAGTTTGGTAAAATTAACAAAGAAGGAAGAGGTACAGGTGAGCATGTAGAAGTCTTCAGATAATTGAAGTTTGTATAATTTCCTAATAAAAATAATAAATAGGTCAAAGTGAATTTTTATAACCAAAAACTATTTGCTTTAAAAATGTTGATACAAAGGTACATTTCTGCTGTTTCACATGTTTCCTGTATTTAAAATTATTGTTAATACTGCTTTTTAGCCTTGCTATACATCCTGACAAAATTAGGATCGCAACTGGACAGATAGCTGGAGTGGATAAAGATGGAAGGGTGAGCAGCACAGTTTTATGCATTTTATGTCTAGTGATACTGCTGTTAGAATGGAACTGATTGTAATTTTAACCACAATTCAATTATCTCATCCTCTGAAAATTTACATGACAGGATTTCTAGCATTAGAAAGGAAAAAAATTTACTAGAGTGTAAAAATGTTTTAAAAGATAAGAGTGGTGCACGCCTTAAATCCCACCACTCGGGGAGGCGGAGGCAGGCGGATCTCTATGAATTCAAGGCCAGCCTGGTCTACATAGTGAGTTCCAGGACAGCTGGGGCTACATGGAGACCCTGTCTCAAAAAGACGGGAAGAAAAAAAAAGATAAAAGAGAATCAAACTTCTTTTTTTTCTAAATAATAACCATTCTCCCTAGGGAAGCTGTTTACATGTAAAAGTGGGAGGACTCATATCCTTGTTGGATTTTTCTTGACATAGAATAACTTACCAATGTTTGCCAGAAGGTACATTTCTCTTAGTTGACAGGACCTCTTGATTTTATATATAAGGAGATCAGCTGATTACCACTTAGTTTCAGTTACCATTCACTTGTATTAAATTGATTTATTTAGCATCTCTTATTTCTACGATCAGTAGTGCATATTGATGATGGTAGTATGTTTATTACTAGACTCATGGTGTTCTCTGGGTTTAGTCTCCTTAATGAAAAGCAGCAAGTAGAATGGCTGTATTGACTGGCTTTGAATATCCCTTCAGATCCATATTGTTTATAAGGCTTGCTTGCTTAGCAATTTATTGGACAGTTAATATTAAAGTCATTGTGTTAAGAATGAACAAAATGCTATAAGTATCAGAAACAAATGTGGTCACCCACTTTGTAGTCCCTATTCTGTGGTGGCCTTAAGCAGGAGAACCCTGGATAAAATAGATCTGTCTCAGAAAAAATGCCCAGAAGCACATTTGCCAATGTTAGTATTATAATTTCACCTTTTGGCAGCTATAAAACTGGTCATTAGATCTTTGTATCTCAGTTCCTCCTCCTTTTAAGTAGTAATTATACTACATATCATTCATAAGATTATAAGAATTAATGATTTACTATGTGACATCAGATAGTATGTGAAATAGTACTCATTATTTGCTGCTATCACTCTTAGTTCCTTATTTTCATGGTATCACAAAAGAGTCTTAGGAGGCAATGTGGTCTTTTTGGATGTCTTTGTGTCCCTATTGCTTTCTAAAGATGGCAAAATAGTGTGTGTGGTCAGAATACATGTGTATCCTCGTGGATATGTTAGTCCAATTATCTTGTTTTTGCAGCCTCTGCAGCCCCATGTCCGAGTGTGGGATTCAGTTAGTCTCTCCACGCTGCAAGTTATTGGACTTGGAACTTTCGAGCGTGGAGTAGGATGCCTGGATTTTTCAAAAGCAGTAAGTAACTTTTTTTTTTTTTAAATAATTTTATGTGTATGAGTGTGTTGCCTGCATGTATGGGAGTGCACCCATGTCGTGCAATGCCGCGGGGGTCAGAAGAGGACTTTGGATTCCCCTGGAACTGGAGTTAAGGATGGTTGGTAGCCATCATGTGGGTGCTGGGAATCAAACCCAGGTTCTCTGCAAGAGCAGTCAGTGCTCTTAACCGCTGAGCCATCTCTCCAGCCCCATAACATTTTTTTTTTAAGTGAACAAGCTAAGCTGGATTATTTGTATATGTGTGTCCTTTGAAAATAGACATTGTAACATGAAATGTTAGTATTTTCAGTGTAGGCATTGTTAAATGGCTAGCATTTTAATGTAAGTAGTAAATTTGATTTAAATAGGATTAAGGTATTTAAATTAGTTCTGTTTTGTCCTGAGGTAGGATTCCATTTGTAGTGGTGGGAAATGGTTGGAAGTATAGACATAGGATGGTACAATTTGAAATAGGCAATAGGATGTTTTAATTTCAGCTTGAATTATGTCATATTGGAGAAAGGAAACAATCAGGTCTTTAGGTGTTTTGTTTTGTTTTGTTTTGTTTTGTTTTGTTTTGTTTTGTTTTGTTTTGTTTTGTTTTGTTTTGTGTCAGGGTCTCCCTATAGCCCCAGCTGCCCTGGAATTCACTATGTAAACTGGCTGGCCTCAAACTCACAGAGGTCCGCCTGCCTCTGCCTCACAAGTGCTGGGACTACAGGCATGTACCACCACGCCCAGTTGAATATTTATTTTATAATAGCAAAAAGAGAACATCAGCTGGGCATGGTGGTACAAGCCTTTAATCCCAGCAGAGGCAGGCAGATCTCTCTGAGATTGAGGCCAGCCTGATCTACATAGAGAATACCAGGCCAGCTGAAAAACAAAACAGAGGAGGAGGAAGGAGGGAATATAAGACACTGAAGGGACTGTGATAGTCTCAAAACCAAATAATAGCCAAGCTACCAGCTGGCAAATGGATATTAACCCAAAGGAGCACAATGAAATAGAGAAGAAATTTAATGAATTTCTGTATTTAGAAAAACAATTACAGTTCTAGTAAACAGTACAATCATTAGGTTTCAAAGCATGAGTTTAAAGAAGTTTTCATTATCTCACTATTAGTTTTAATAACAATGACATTTCTTCAGAATTAACTTATCCAGGATTCTTAGGCTCTTTAATTGACTTTCCTTTAGGATTCAGGTGTTCATTTATGCGTTATTGATGACTCCAATGAGCATATGCTTACTGTTTGGGACTGGCAGAAAAAATCTAAAGGAGCAGAGATAAAGGTAAGTCAAAATAAATTTTTGATATTATCTTTTAGAATGCATTATTTGGAATTACAGTATCCACACCTCTAATTTGTAAGAATAAACTCATTGTTCTAATACATCCGTTTTATCAGTTTATCAGGATTCTGTGGTCATTAGCACGGTAATTAGACAAGATTGAATATATGCAAACAACTTAAATCAGTTTCATAATTCAGACAACACCATGCTACTAAAATACCAAAGTAGATAAATGTCCAATCTCAGAATTAAGGCTAACATTCTACTTGGTTGCTGCTTTTTAATAGATTTGTAATTCCATTCAGTCTTTGAGACTTTACAAATCTAGACGGAAGTTTCAGCCTTAAGAATATATACTTGACAGGTTAGCTGCTCTTGCAGAGGACCTGGATTTGGCTCCCAGCGCCCACTTGCAGGCTAACAGCAACCATAACTTCAGTTCCAGGGGACTGGACGCCCTCTTCTGACCTCTTTGGGCATTGCATGATACAGGTACACTTACATACATGGAGGCCTAACACTCATACACATTAAATAAAAAAAATAAAATATGTGGGGCTGAAGAGATGGCTCAGCAGTTAAGAACACTGGTTGTTCTTTCAGAAGACCCAGGTTCGAATCCCAGCTCCCACATGGCAGCTAACAACTGTCCGTAACTCCAGTTCCAGGGGATCCAGTGGCCTCTTCTGTCCTCCATGGGCATCGCATGACACAGGTGTGCTTACCTACATGCAGGCAATACATACAAACACATAAAAATAATAAAAAATATATAAAAAAATAAGATATGCTGTGCATGGTGGTACACACCTTTAATCCTAGCACTTGGGAGTCAGAGGCAGATGGACTGTGAGTTAAAGGCCAGCCTGGTCTACATAGTGAGTTCCAGGCCAGCTGGGGCTATAGTGAGACCCTGTCTCGAAAAGATAAATAAATAAATAAATTTTTAAAGAATATACTTGACATAACTGAAGGGCATATATAATGTAACTTTTTGTTTAAATCATACCTGTATGATGATTACAGAAAATGCTCTAGCACTTATAAAATTCTATAGCATGTATGATTGCTATAGAGTAGTGTAGATTCCATTGTGAGGCTCACACTGTAACTTCTAAGATTGTAAATTCGCATCACAACTGCGTTTATGTGGGTCAGGAATGACCTTTTCCCTCTGACAGGATTTTCAAGAGAGTAACAGAATGCCTTCGATAACCCTTAAGTAAGAATCTTATTTTGAGAGGCTGAGAGATGGCTCAGTGATTAAGATGGAGTAGTGCTCTTGTAAAAGACCCAAATTCGATTCCCAGCATTCCTGCCATATACTGCCTGTAGCTCTAGCTCCAGAGGGATCCAATATCTCTGGCCTCCATGGTCACCTACACTCAGGTGCACATACCTGTACACAAATGTACATGTATACTCATGATTTTATTTTTTTTTAAAAAAAATGTTTTTCAGCTGCTTTGGTCAAGAAATTTGGGGGTTTTTTGTTATTGTTCACTTTTTTAATATTTTATTATTTTTATTTTATGTGTATGAGTATATTGCCTGCATGAATGTGAGTGCACCTGTATCACGCAATGCCGCGGAGTTCAGAAGAGGACCTTGAATTCCCCTGGAACTGGAGTTAAGGATGGTTTTTAGCTGCTATGTGGGTGCTGGGAATTGAACCCAGGTCCTCTGCAAGAGCAGTCAGTGCTCTTAACCGCTGAGCCATCTCTCCAGTCCCTATTGTTCATTTTTTTAAATAAGCAGAATAGATTTTCATTTAAAAGAAATAAAGGTCTCAGAAAACCTTGTATCTTAATAAAGGTCTACCAGATGAAGCCTGTAGTTTCTCCTGCTGGCCACTCCTCCATCTCCTTCCCAGTGAATGTTCCAGAGCTTTAGTCCATATCCCCCACTGCTGGCCATTACTGCCCATCTGCTGAGTGCCACATTAGTTATCTCCAGCCCAGATTGCTTACAAGTTTAGACCTCTATTTGTAGTTGCTTTCCTGACATCTATATAAATGTCCCCTACCATAGTCAAAATTGATATGTTAAAATCTCCTAATTATCTCCACTAGTCCCAACCAACACTGCTTCAGAGTGTGGACATTATGTTTATCCTTAGTTATCATTCATAAATTTTTCGCTCTCCTTTCTCATGTCCAAATTCCCCCAAACTCTATCCTAAGTATCTATTTCCAAAATAAGTAATTTCAAGACAACTAAAATTAACCGAATGTAAACAGAATATTTATCCCTGTTTAGGGTAGAAAGGAAAGCCGTTATGAGAAAAAAAACAAAGGTATTCTGCCTAAGCAGTTACTTGATCCTAATTCTAGATCACTGGACCATCTCTACCTTCCTCTTCCCTGTGTATTGACCTTTTCCTGTTCTAATATAGAGAGGAGCTATTCTTGCTTAAGTCATAAAGATTTAGGCAATCAATAAATAACTTTGTATTATATGTAAGTTTAAAGTTCAGAAAGGAAGGGCTGGCAAGCTGGCTCAGCAGCTAAAGGTGCTTGCCACTAAGTCTGCCAACCTGAGATCTGAGGTCAATCCCCAGGATCCATATGGTTGAGAGTCAGATTGCCCTGTGACCACCACATGCACCAAGCACTTGTACACACACACACACACACACACACACATGCACACACAAAATTTTAAAATTCAGTAAGGCAACTCCAAAGCCTTAGTGATAGAAATTGAAGATTAATAGAGGGATCTTGAACATTTATGAATAGAACTCAGCATTGTAAAGATTGACATCTCTGCATATAGGCCTGTACCACCAAATAGTGACTCTGAGCTTTTCCAGAAATTGGTAAACTGGGCTGGAGAGATGGCTCGTAGGTTAAGAGCACTAGTTGCTCTTGCAGAGAACCCCGATTGAATTCCCAGCACCCTGTGACAAGGTAACGACCAACCATTCGTAACTCCAGTTCCAGGGGATCTGATGCCTTCTTTTGTCATCCTTGAGCATTGCACAACAGAGCTGCACTTACAAACGTGTAAGCAATACACTCATACACATAAAATAAAAATAATGAAGAAGTATTTTTTTAAAAATTGGTAAACTGAAGCCAGGTGTGGTGGCGCATGCCTTTAATCCCAGCACTCAGGAAGCAGAGGCAGGTGAATCTTCGTGAGTTCGAGGCACTAAGATCTGTTACATAAATGAGACACTGGTACAGGGATAGAGGCACAGATCAAAGGATGAAGCAGAACATCTAGAAAAGACCACACCAAGCACTTGGCTTATGACAAAGGCAGCAGTACTAGACAGAGATTAAGGTTTTCTGTGAGTAGCCCTGGATTAGCTGGATATCTGTATGGACAGAGATTCATTTTGACCCTTTTTTTTTTCATTTTTCTTTTTATTTTATGTGTATGCGTGTATTGCCTGCATGTAGGTAAGTGCACCCATGTCATACAATGCCCGTGGAGACCAGAAGAGGCTGTTGGATCCCCTGGGACTGGAGTTACTGACAGTTGACAGTTGCCACATGGGTGCTGGGATTTGAACCCCGGTCTTCTACAAGAACAACCAGTGTTCTTAACTGCTGAGCCATCTCTACAACTCCTTAAATATTTTATTATTTTTAGCCATGTGGGTGCTGGGATTTGAACCCAGGTCTTCTGCAAGAACAACCAGTGATCTTAACCTCTGAGCCATCTCTCCAGCCGCCTGTCCTATTTCTTTTAGCAGTCAAAAAAATCAGTTTTAGGTGGATAATTATCTGAGCCTGAAAGGTACAGGCAGTAAAGCTTTAAAAAGAAAATGTAAAGGATGCCTTCATAAGCAGACTTCTCAAGCAGGAATTTAAAAGTACTAACTAGAAGTGGGAAAAGATATCAATTACAGTCACTTCTTTTGCAGAGTATAGTAGCACATACTTGTATTGTAGTGCTTGGGCTTCTGAGGTTGGAGGATTGTTAATTCAGCCTGGGCTACATAAAAAGGCCCTGTCTCAGCCACCCATCCTCACAAAAAGTTATTTTCCTCAAAAGATGACATTTATTGTAAGGAAATACTTGCAGTATATTTTTTCAATAAAATATTTATGTTCAAATAAATTCTTTTTTAATAAGGAATTTTTTTTTAATTGGCAGATCTCAAAAGTTGTTTCACAAAGTAGGTTATTTAGGTAATTAGTAAGCATATGAAAAGATGCTCAGCCTCATTAGTTATCAAGAAAATTCAAATTAATACCACAGTAACTCACATGAGAAAGACAGAAATATCAGTGTTAATGAGCATATAGGTTAACTGGAACTCAGTGTACCTTACTGGGCATTTAAGTTGGTGCAGCCGTTTTGAAAAATATTTGAGCTTACCTGCTAATGCAGCCTGTTTTCTCTCCAGAGTAGAAACCCAGCAGAAATAGATAGATGCGTTTGATGGAAGATAGATTACAGAGCTTTTTACAAGTAGCAAAAAATAGTAGAACTTCCCTAATATAAGCAAGGGAATGTGGTGTTTGGTTTTTTGTTTTTAACAAAGAAAAATTATACAGCATTTAGAATGAACATGAATGGATCTCATAAATGTAAAGTTGAAAAAACATGCCAAACATGAAAGAAATACATTGTTTGCAATTCCATTTAAAAATGAAACAGACAACCTCTGGACATGGTGGCACATACTTTTAATCCCAGCACTCAGGCGGCAGGGGCAGGCAGAGCTCTGTGAGATTGAGGCCAGCCTGGTCTATATAGCAAGTTCCCAGGCCAGTTGGGACTACAGGGAAACCCTGTCTCAAAAGCCAAAACAAACAAAAAATGAAACAAAACTCCTTGTTGCTTTGATTACACAAGTACTCAAAGGGAGAGGATAAGCAACTGAAAAGGGTCTGTGCTGTTTTTGGAATACTAATGATGCTCTGTAAGGACATCACATCTAAACCTTTTTTCTAAAAAATCTGTTCTTAAAAATTTTTTAAGAAAATAAATATTAAACAGTTCCTAAAAAATTTTCACTGTCTTTTTCAGCAGCTATAATTGGTATTTGGTATTTATATCTATATCTAAAGTATCATTTCTCTCTTCACAGACAACAAATGAAGTTGTTTTGGCTGTTGAGTTCCACCCAACAGATGCAAATACCATAATAACATGTGGTAAATCTCATATTTTTTTCTGGACCTGGAGTGGCAATTCACTAACAAGAAAACAGGGAATTTTTGGGGTAAGGATCAGAGCATTATACCATCATTGGATTAAAAGCTCCTATCTTTTTTATCATTGGGTAAGCATAAATCATAATGCCAAAGGGAAAACTGAAAATTCTCATTTCATTATAGAAATACGAAAAACCAAAATTCGTTCAGTGTTTGGCCTTCTTGGGGAATGGAGATGTTCTTACTGGTGACTCAGGTGGAATCATGCTCACCTGGAGCAAAACTACCATAGAGCCCACACCTGGGAAAGGACCTAAAGGTATAACAGTCTCATGTTAAACTCATTCTGCATAATTTTCACAGTGCTGTTGCAGGCCGTCTCCTACCTAAACCAGGAGATAAATAAAGGTCTTCACCAGAATAATGTGAGGGTTACCAACATCCCTACTGCTCTAATGTTCTTCATATTGATATTTTCTAATGAGATTTATTGATTGCATGTCTAGTCTACTGTGACTACAGAATCGTTCTCTCCAGAAGTTTACTATGAGAGCAAGAGCTTCACTATCACTGGGCTTGTACTAGGATATCTGAGCAAAACTCATGGCCATGTAATTAAGCTGGAAAGAAGGATGGAAAAAAAAAATGAATAAACCCATAGTTCAGTTCCCTCTCCTTTTTTCCTCACTGCAGCCCTTCTTCCAGCCCCTCCCTTGGCATTCATTTCACCTTATCTCAAATCAGTTTTCTCAGAAATACATGTTGGTTTTTAAGTTCCATTTGCACCCAAATATAAAGATCCACTTTGCCCTTTTCTGTACTAGATTCAGAATTCTAGGAACATCATTGAAAATAACCTTTTTTAAACTTCAATAAAGTGAAAAACTGTCCAGTCATGTCCCATGGTTCCTTCACAGTAAGCCTAATGGTAGAAGTCTAAAACCAGTGGGACCAGAGCAGAAGACTCTTTTATCTACATCGATAGCTGTAGGCAGAGTACTAGCTAGGTTAGTCAGTTACTGAAAACTCACTAAGAGGGAGAGCAGGAAGAAAGGAGAGGTGATGGGAGCCAGTCTGGGGATTGGCAGGGCAGCCTGTTGTAGTTTCTTTCATGTGTCTAATTTTACCCTAAACACACAGTTCTCCTCACTGGCATCCCTGCATCAGACCATGGAGATCAACCCAAATTAAGAGTAAGGGAATCCCTGCTGCTCTGCCCGGAAAGACCTAGTTTATATGTCTCTTCCCCAGTAACATTCACACAATATCTAGTGTTTTGTACTAGCAGTTAGAAAGTTATTTGCCAAGTATTTTATTAAGCACATTGTTTTGATCATACCCCTTGAGTGTCAGTATAGATGAAAAAAGTTAATGGGTATTGGTTAAAGCACTCTTCACTGAGATGAGGATTTTAAATTGAACGTGGCAATTGTCTTTTTAAATTTTTATTTTATGTGTATGCGTGTATTTCCTGCTTGTGTATGTAAGTGCACCACCCATGTGGTACGATGCTCACAGAAGACAGAAGTTGTCAGATCCCTTGAAACTGGAGTTACTGAGAGTTGTTAGCTGCCATGTGGATGCTGAGATTTGAATCGGGGTCTTCTGTCTTAACCGTTGAGCCATCCATCTCTCCAACCCTGCAACTGTCTTATTGTTGGGTTGGGTTGGGTTTGTTTTGTGGTGGGGAGGGTGTCTTTTTGAGACAGGGTCTCCCTATAGTCCCAGCTGGCCTGGAACTCATAGAGATATCTGCTTGTCTCTGCCTCCTGAGTGCTGGGATTAAAGGCATACAGCACCATGCTTGGCTTTTTTTTTGTATTTTTTTAGAATACTGTATCTTTTAGGAGTTACACACTAGTTGTTTGAATTAATGTTTTCCCTCTTTGTGAACATGTAAATTTTTAAGTTTGGCATTTGAATTAGGTATATAAAAAAAGTTCTAGTCAGTCATGGTTTCACATACTGTAATTCTAGTGCTCAGGAGGTTAAACGTGAAGGACCACAAGTTCAAGACTAGGTGGGCTACATAGCAACAAGATCTTGTCTCAAACAAGCAAAAATTCTTAAATTATCATACTGTTGACTTTGATCTCAATCCTTGACTATGCACTTTGAGCTGCTTTGAGTCTCAGTTCAAAATTCACATATGAGATGACTGGGAAGGGGAGCTGAGGCTCGTGGGAAGGGGAGCTGAGGCTCGTAGGAAGTAGAACAGTATTAGGAGTTACCTTTCCTATTTCCTACTCTTTTTCTCTTTCCTTGGTACTTTTGAGCAGGATTAGAAACGCCAGGAGCAGCAGCTTTTAAATTGTTAATGTATCTTCTAGCACTGAGCTGCAGTTGGGCTTAGTAGTCCTCTCTGTTGCCCTTAATGTTGAGACTCAGGTGGGGAGCAAGGTCAGGTTCTAAGATTTTTATTTGTGTTTTTATTTTAAAAACTTGTGGGTTGCTAAGCATGGTGGTGCATGCCTCTGATCCCAGCACTCAGGAGGCAAAGATAGGTCAATCTCTGTGAGAGAGAGAGAGACCAGCCTGGTCTGCATAGTGAGTTTGGGCCACCTGAGGGAGGCTACAGGGAGACCCTGTCTCAAACAGTCAAACAAACAAGCAAAAGCTTGTGGCTTAACCTGTGTATGTAGAGGAAATCTGCATATACACAGACAAGAAACAAGTTCAGTCTTCTAAATTGCTGGGCACATAAAATGGCCTGTGTTGTGTTTGCTACATGAATAAACGACAAAGCTGCTAAGGATTTTGTTTCTTTTGTGTCTGGGGTTTTCAACTCATGAAATATGGCTAAGGATATAATGAGTGCACTGGAAAAATGTATAAAAACATGTAAAATGTACAAAAAAGTTCTAGTCAGTCAGACCAAAACAAATGCTTGAAGCTTCCATATTTTAATTCTGAATAGCCCTTAAATTTTGATATGTTTATCCAGCTTTCATAATTAATATTTATAAGCTGAGCATGGTGGCTCATGTCTGTTATCCTGGCATTTGGAAAAATGAAGCAGAATAAGTGTCATGAACTCCAGCCCAGCCTGGGCTACAAAATGAATTTCAGGCCTGCCTGGGCTACAGAATGACTACCTAGCTCAAAAAAACTGAAAAAAAATTAATATTTCTTAAATGGTAAAGGGTATTTGTTATATATATGAAATAGTCTTGTTTATTCTATGTGAAATAATTCAGTCTTAAAAGTAAGGGAACAGCTGCCAGGTGTGGTGGCTCACACCTTTGATCCCAGGCAGAGACAGGCGGATCTCTGAGTTTGAGGCCAGCCCGGTCTCCATAGTGAATCCAGGCCAGCTGCAGCTACAGGGAGACCTTGTCTCAAAAAAAGTAAGGGAACAGAAGTTGAAAGTACCTGTAAATGCCATTAAAATTTTTGTCACTCTTGGACTCAGGAGATGACTCCGTGGTTAATGTGCTTGACACAAAGGCAAGAGAACCAGAACAGATCCCTGAGAAGTGATTATGTATACATTTTCAGAATGGGAGAACAATGCTTCCCCCATGGCTAGAATATAGTAATCACACTAGAATCATTATTTAATGACTAATGAAAAAGAGTCTACTGTCCTATCCACCCAATCCCACTATTCCTGTGGTCAGCAGTCACTTCTGAAAGTATCCAGTACCCACCCTTGTCCCCAGTACCTTTTCCAGGCCCCTATAGCTCAACATATTAAAAAGGCTAATTCTCCAGTTATGTGTGATTGTTATAGAGTGAACTAACAATGACTTTTGGAAAATCACATGGACATTGAAGTGGAAGACTTATGGCCCAGTCCCAGCTGTATTATTAGTGAACTGGTATTGTGTGTGCAGCTCTTGTCCCTTTGTCCTTGGCTCTACCTGGAGAAGAATAACACCACCTTCCCACAGCACAAAACTATCACAACAGATGACAGTGAAGTATGATACTGACATGCATTATATAGCCTTGTGTCTGCAGTTATCACTATTTTAGCCATTTTTTAAAAAATTTCTAGAGTAAATAAGTATTAACATAAATGCAAAAGATTGTATTGTCTTGAGCTTCCCTACCTGCCTTAGTGAAATTTACTGAAAATTAGGTTTTGATTTGAAGTCACGAACTTTGTGAGTGTTCACCCTATGGTTCTACTGAAGCTGTTACCTAGAACGATATGAAAGACTAGTAAGACGTGTTATTACTAGTGTTTTTATTTTTCCTCTCATCGCATTAGGTGTCTATCAGATCAGCAAACAAATCAAAGCTCATGATGGCAGTGTGTTCACACTCTGTCAGATGAGAAATGGGATGTTGTTGACTGGAGGAGGAAAAGACCGGAAAATTATTCTGTGGGATCATGATCTGAATCCTGAAAGAGAAATCGAGGTAAGACTGGAAATGGAACAGTAAAGATCTTAAAATACTAAAGCCTCTCACATGTGTTTGTCTCACATTAGTATAATGTAAACCTGGGAAACTGCACTGCTACCATTTCATAGCCCTCCCCATTAGAAAGGAATAATTACCCAAATTTGAAGTTCAAAAGTAGTACCACTGAATACTGTATGCAAGTCTTACGGTCTAGAGAATGATCCGGATAATTTTAAAACTGGAAACATCTTCCAAACATTGTGCTTGATGAGAATTGCTGTTTCTCTACGTGCTTGGTTCATGGCATGGAACAGGTATAGCCAGAGGAGTTATGTGTGCCTTGGGAGTTTGCTAATCGAATTGAGATCTTAATAAGTAAAATAGTTAACAGTAATATTTCAGATGAACGATTTGTAAATCAAGAGCAAATCTCACAAAGTTTAAGGTTGCTTGTGGGTTTTGTTCATTTAAAATTTGAATTCATGCTTGTTTGTTTTTTGTTTGTTTGTTTGTTTGTTTTTCAAACATAACCTGCCTTCCATACTCTGAAGTAGGTAGAGGATCATGATAATGCTGCTTGGGTTTATTTTTAAGAAGGTCATCGAGAACTGCTTTATCACATCTTAGAAATGCTACTTTTTTTTTTTTCTTTTTTTGGTCTTTTTGAGACAGGGTCTCCCTGTAACCCCCCAACTGGCCTGGAACTCACTATGTAGAACAGGCTGGCTTTGAACTCAGAGATCTACCTGCCTCCGCCTCCCATGTACTGGGACTAAAGGCGTGCACCACCATGCCTGGCTCAGAAATGCTACTTTACCATTGCGTTCCTTCATAGATGACTCTTATTTTTGTAATTAAAAATTATGCTATTATGGAAGAAGCCAAAGCAGTCTGTGTCCCAATTCCCTATCCGCAAGTTGGGTAACCGCTTCAGAGGATAGTGTGATAAGAATAAGAGGTAGGAATTGTCTGGGCAGTTAGGGTATAAAGACCCCAAAGAAAAGTAGCCAGTTTCTTGGCTAAAACTCACAATGTCCTTGGACCTCTTAGCCACATACTCCATTCCAAAGGCGAAAAATGTTGAAAGTATTTGGAAGCTTTTATCTAATCCTTAAAAGATTTTAGGGTTACCTCTTCAGAGGGGGGAATGTTAGAATATCCAAAAGCCCCATTAAAGAAAATAAGAATAACAAAAGAAGAGTACATGAAGTTATCAGAAAAAAGTGATGGGGAGGGAGAGGAAGGACTGGGCATGGTGATCAAAACACCTTATATGCATGTATGAAATTCTCAGTAAATTATTTTTTTAAATAAAAAAATAAAAATTACACTCTGCCTTCCTTTACCATTTCTAACATCAGTTTGGTTTTGACTCTGTATTTATAGGGGTCATTTGGATCTAAGGGTTTTATTCTTATTTTGCAGTGCTAGAAATTGAACTCAGGACTGACTTCATGCATGCTGGGCAAATGGTCTAGTGAGCAGAGGTGTTTTGGAGCCTTTTTCATGGAAAAGAAATACACTATTTCAGAGTCATTTTTTAGGACCACTATAGTTACTAATATAGCATTCATTGAGAGTATGCTATCTAGCGAATAAATGAAGTTGTTCTCCCAAAGGATCCTATTGGGACTTTTAAACTTTAGAGTGCAGCCATTCCTCCAGTCTACTGGAGAGTAGCTTCAGGTTTCCCCATGGGTACCAGAATCTGTGAATGCTCAAGTCCCTCTTATAAATACAGCATTTCTGTATACCTGTACTTTAAATCATCTGCCCATTGTTTATAGTACCTGATACAATGTGAATGCTATGGAAATACACTGAATTTTTTAGAGGCAAGTGACAAGGAAAAAGATCTGTACATGGAGAGTTCCAAGTACAGACATAGGTTTTTGGTTTTGTGTTTGCTCCTTTAGTATTTTCAGTCCATGGTTGGATTATACAAAAAGCCAGTTGTGGGCTTTGCTTTACAAAGAAATTTCACATGCATTGTTTTAATATTTTGATCCTTAAATACTCAAGAGTGAGTAAGGCCAGCCCTCCGGATCTCTGTGAGATCAAGGCCAGCCTGGTCCACACAGTGACTTCCAGGTGGGCTGGGGCTAGGGAGACCCTGTTTTAAAAAAAAAAAAAATTGAGTAGGGAATATGTTATTATACCATGTCACAGATAAATAAATTTTTCTTAAGGTAAGTAATTTTACCCAGAGAAACATGAAACAAAACCTAGACTGTATTCTTTGTGTAACCCGGTAGAATTTACTACTTTTTTCCCTCCACTTCTAACCCTTAACTCGCAGAACCATATAGAATGTAAATTTAAAATGTAGTGAAGTAGGCTTGGAGGTAAGATTAGTATTAGAAGCTTGCAGAGCTTGTGGGAGATCCTGCAAATAATTATAAATGAGGAAAAGATTGTTGATAATAGAACTTGTATGTAATAAAATGTAATTGAACAAATAACTAACAATGTGAGATTACCATATTGTTTCTAATTTAGAGTTCAGTCATTTATTGCCCTATAGTTGCATACAGCTATAAATGCAGCCACTATTCATATGGTAATTATTCCATGCGTGTGAGTATATGGTAATTTCACAAATTTAACTTTTCCAGGTTCCTGATCAGTATGGCACAATCAGAGCTGTTGCAGAAGGAAAGGCAGATCAATTTTTAGTGGGTACATCACGAAACTTCATTTTACGGGGAACATTTAACGATGGCTTCCAAATAGAAGTACAGGTAAGCTGTCTGATGCCAACGATTTACAGAAATCTTTCGATGGTATCCTTTGGTTCTTGTAACAATATTTTTTATTTTCAGGGTCATACTGATGAACTTTGGGGTCTTGCTACACATCCCTTCAAAGATTTGCTCTTGACATGTGCCCAGGACAGGCAGGTGTGCATGTGGAATTCAGTGGAGCACAGGTTGGAATGGACCAGGCTCTTGGATGTGAGTGAAGCAAGATGTGATTGATAATTCCCATGCAACCTCCTTCTGCTGGAGTTGAAAGCAACAAAGAAAAAAGGACTGAGCACTAATCTTTTAAACAAGTGTTTATTTTATGGTTTGGTGAAGGCATTGAGGGTAAGAGGGAAGTGTTTGGTCTCAAAGTGTAGCATGAATCCACTTTAAAGAAGCAAGATAGCAGAGTAAAACTATAAAGACCTCATGTATTATAGCATATGAGTCATGAACTATTTGGGGCTCTATGGTGTTCCAGCTGGATTCAGTAGATACTGCTCACTAACAGTCTCTTGTATTTTCTCCGTTATGCCTACTTTTCTAGCCCAAAAGAAACAAGTTCTGCCCAGACTTCTAAAGAACCACACAAATGTTTGTTGTTGTACCCATTGTGCCACTACCTTGCCATGAGCTCCTTGTCTTTTTCCATCACCAGTCTGCCAGCACCCCAAGTCCTAACACTCTTTTTCTTCTCATTTCCGTGTGGTATTTCTCATTGGCTACAATACAGCCGATCAGAATTCCATGTTGATATGAAACATGTTCTTTTAAAGATGTTTTTTTCAGAGGCTTCTTAGATCTAGGGTGACTTTGTCATGTACCCTCAACAGCTGTCTGTCTCTTTTCTAGGAACCAGGACACTGTGCAGATTTTCATCCAAGTGGCACAGTGGTGGCCATAGGAACGCACTCAGGCAGGTAGGGTCTCTGTGCGAGCTGGGTGATCTGAACTGATGTGGGGTTTAAATTATTATTCAGGAATGTTCTCAGTCTGATCTAGAAAATGAATCTCATACATAAAGCACTTAATACTGTTGCTCACTTTTGTGTGTACACTCATTTAGTCATTCTTTTCTGAGCATCTGTCTCCTGTTTGCTATGTAGTATTATGGGCATTCAGGATACAGTAGAGACCAAAACAAGAATTCCTGCCCATGCAGAGCCCACATTTTAATGTGTGGTAAAAGTGGAAGTAGAATAAAGAGTAAACGTTACAACTCAGTTTATAAGGGAATATAAAAGCCATGAGAAGGAAGGCAGAATAACTGATAAGAATGGGGAATTGGGAGTGCAGTTGGAAAATTATAAACAGTGATCAGAATAGCCTTTGTTGAGAATGTGATAGCACACTTGACTACAAAAGATAGAGAACTGCTGTCTTCTGTGCAGGGAAAGAGTTTGAAGTTAATATAACCCAGTGGAACTTTTCTAAGTTGTACTGTAGCTTTCACCATCCTGTCTTCTTTGAATGCTACACAAACAGCTAACACCGGCATAGTTCCTTAAACCATTGCTGTACTTTCTTGAGACTTCCACATTACCTTTCAGGTTATTAAACAGCATATGTTCATTATCTGTATGTTTTAAATTAACTCCTTATTGTTTCTGCTACTTAGTAATCCTCACCACAAATAGCCTTTTTTAAAGAGGCAGAGGAGAAATACTGTCAGTTCTCAGAAAAGTTAGACCCATTACAAAACACGAAAAGCTGACGGTTAACAGGGTGAAACTATTATGAGCACGTTTATGTAAATACTGTAATTATTTGTCCTACTTAAATACTTGAGATCTACCAGTTCATTTAATTCTAGCTAAATTTAAGTATTTGGAGTTTTTGTTTTGTTTTTTTATGGTGAGTTGGTGATACAGCTCAGTGGTAGAGGACAGCCTAGCATGTGTAAGGTGTTGAATTCTATCCCCACCACTAAGGAAGGAAAATAAAAGCCTTACTGGAGGTTTTTTGGGGGCTTTTTGAGACAGGGTCTCCCTGCAGCAGCCTCAGGTGACCTAGAACTCACTATGTAGACCAGGCTGACCTCGATCTCACAGAGATCTACCTGCCTCTGCCTCCCACATGCTGGTACTACACGTGTGTGCTACCACGCCCAGCTTTACTCAAACACAGTGCTATAAAATTCATAATTATGAAAAAAAGTCAGGACTGGAGAGATTCGCTCAGTGATTAAGAGCACTGGCTGTTCTTGCAGAGCACCCACATGGTGACTAACAACCAGTTCCAGGGGATCCGACGCCCTCTCTGTCCTCTTCAGGTGTTGCATGACACAGGTGCATTTACATGCAGGCAGGCAATACTCTCATACACATAAAAATAATAAGATTTTTAAAAAGAAAAAGAGGCCGGGCGTGGTGGCACATGCCTTTAATCCCAGCACTCGAGAGACAGAGGCAGGGGCAGGTGGATCTCTGTGAGTTCAAGGCCAGCGTGGTCCACATAGTGAGTTCCAGGACAGCTGGGGCTACAGGGAGACCCTGTCTC